TCACAGGGCAGGGGACCAGGTCTGAAGACTGACCAACTTTACAGAGGGTACAATTCAGCACTACTCTGCAGGTCCATCGCCTTCACTGGACTTGCTTTTAGACCTTCCACTCTTCTCTTCCATACCAATCTCTACCTAGAGAAACTGTGGCACAAAAAAAAAGGTTCTTTTACAAGATAACCTAAGGAATCCTCCCTTCGCTTAAAGGGAACTTCGAATAAGAGCCTCAGAGGTTCCCCCCTTCTGGATCACTACTGCAAACCAAACATCCACGGCAATAAACCCTAGAGAATTTTCCAAGGGAAAAAATCCTTTCCTATTTACTATCTTAAGGAAGACAGACCAATAATAAAATAAAAGCAAGTAACTGTAAAGTTTATACAGCAACTAAGAGGAGTTTTTCTCACCGATTAGAACAGAGGTTTCAAAACATTCAATTACCTAGCAGGTCTATCAGGAGCAGAATGCCTCTTTTAATGTAAACTTTTATTACTTCCCACCTTAAGTTATTGTGACACATATAATCTGGTAACATTACCTCATGCCTGAACTATGGCAACTACTTTTTAATTAGTCTTCCTGTCTCCAGACTCTTCTTTCCTTCATACTACCACCTGATTACATTCTAGGTAAGGAATTGAGTCACAGAGGGCCCAGCCAGTATGAACTAACTGCCATGTCCAAACACTCTCGAAGCTTTCCTGCCATTGCTCATCCTGTTCCCTCTATTGGAATGCTGCTAATCTTCACTTAATGAAATCTTATCCATATTTGAAGACCCAGATGAAATGCCATCTCCAAGATGCCTTTCCTGATCACCAAACCAACCCTCCTTCCCCTATACTCTTAGATAGCATTAGGCAATACTACTTACATGGCATTTAGAACAACTACTACTCATATTTATGTAACAAAGTTTACAAATACTCCTTCCAACAACCCTTTGAGTTACACAGGACAAATAATACCTGCTTTTTAAAGGTCAGGGATATTAAGTGATGTGTCCAGGGTCTCACTGCTAATAAGTGTTGGAGACAAGATTAATAGAGTTATCACTGAAAGAGATATTAGACATTACTCAGTCTAATATCATTTTACAGATGAGGAAACTGAAGCACACATGTAATAAATAGCTGAGTTGAGATTTCAACTCTGGTCTTCTGATTTAAAATCTAGTCCTCTTTCCATTGCACCAGGATGCCCTCCCAGTCTCCCTACCTGAAGCACAGTTTTCCTATCTCAGATTGGAAATGGCTTTCTACGCAGACATAGAAATGCTATGTATTTATGTATCCCCAAAACTCTGCTCCTAACCTATCCCTAAAACACAACTACCCCTGCCCCTCTCTCCAAATAAATACAAATTCTGAAGCTATGTGCTTGCATCCTTTTTAGTCCCGCTGGCTGACATTTTAAATGTGTGTGTGTGTGTGTGTGGTGTGTGTGTGTGTGTGTGTGTGTGTGTGTGAGAGAGAGAGAGAGAGAGAGAGAGAGAGAAGAGAGTGTACACACGTATAATTTGGGAGTGCAGAAGAACTGAAATGGGAGATGGAGTGCCACGGATGAGAGACAGAGAGAAGGCCAGCTTAGACCAGAATGTAGGAAGCTGAATAATTTACAAGGAGGCTGCAAATACTGATTATTTCCCTAATTAAAAACTACTGCTACATTTTTGCTACAAATCCTAGTTGATCAAAGAGAAGATTGGTAGGGGAGGGTTATATGACTTTATTTATGTCTGAATAAAGATATTCATGTTTTAATAGTTTGTATCATTATACTTTAATAATATTAATTAAATATTAATAAAGAGTGCTTTAATGAAGTCTTCCTCTATTTTGGAAAATAGTTTGTCCAGCATAGTTATTACTTGTTCTTTAGGTATTTATTTGGTGCTTTTAAAAATGGTACCTCATTAATGGAATGTTTATTTTCTTCTTATAAAATTAGCTTATTTTATTATCTGAAGGCAGCTAGGTGGCCCAGTGGATAGAGTGCTGGTCTTTCAATTAGGAAGAGCTGCATTCAAACACAGCCTCAGACGCTTACTAGCTGTGTGACCCTAACCACCTCTATAACCTCTGCCTGTCTCAGATTTCTCATCTGTAAAATGGGGACAATAATACCATTGATAGCATTGTTGTGAGGAATAAAATATTATGTGATTATTAATATGGCATATGCATATTTATATGTGTATTATATATCATATCATTAGAATTTATTAATATATTTATATTAATATAATAAAGATAACATATGTAAAGCATATATGCAAAATATATGCAAACTTTAAAGTGTTATATAAATGCTAGCTAGTATTATTATTAACATTATTAATTATTTCTTGTTTTGTCAATTGGACTTTTGGGGGATAGGGTGGAGTAAAGCAGATCCAGATCTGTGACTACAGTGATATCAGGAATTCCTAGCAGGGAAGCTCCCTTGACATGGCATGTCCCTTGGCATGTCAGCCACTGTTCTGCAACTAGTCTCAGAGTTCAGGGTCCCGGAGCATGGAGAGGTTAAGTGATTTACCCAGAGTCACAAAGCCAGTATTTTTCTGATATAGAACCTGAATTCAGGCACTTCTGATTCTCTAGCCCTTTATCTAATATGCTTTCTACCTGGCTATTTTGCAAGTATTTATCCATTTATACTAACAGTTTTACTGGTAAGTTTATTTCTTTTGTATTCATTGTGATTTCTCCTAATTTCTGATTTTATTTTTTCCTCCTAAGTACATTTAATAGTCAATTTTATGAGTTGTTTTTTAAAAAAGTTGTTTACAATAATTCAGGTCATAGTTTTTGAGCTGAAAAACCTTCGGAGTCCATCTAGTCCAATCACTTCATTTCCTTCACCTTTCTGTAGCACAGGGAAGCTAGTATGTCTCTTTCCCAGGGTCATACAGCTAATAAGTGTGGGGCTGAGGATGTGAACCTAGGTCTTCCTAACTCCAAGTCCAGTATCATATCCACTACACTATACTGGGCCTTGTTTAACAATTCAATTTTTTAAATTGTCTTATTTAAACTGACTTATTTCAATAATTTATTTCCTCATAATTGATTTTGGTATATTAATTTGTTAATTTTCTAACTTCCTTAACCTTAAATTCATTTCTTTTCCACCCATAAGCTTTCAATGATTTAAATCTGCCTCTGCTTTTGCTGAGACCCTAAAATTTTCATATATTGCATTTATAGTTATTTTAAAATGTAATATTTTTCTATAACTTGTATTTTAACCTTACTGAAATTATTTTTTTAAAACTCCATTTAGGCCTGTATTTTTAAAAAATCCCATTTTCAATGTTGATTACCAATTGTATTGCATCATGATCCACAAACATATTTTTAAAGTTTCTGCATTTCTTGGATTATCTGTAACTTCTTTGAGATCTAGAATAAGATCACTCTGATTGCTCTGCAAAAAAAAAAATCGACCCACTGTTGAAAAAAATTTTATTTATATTTTCTTGCATGGTCATTCACAGCAGGAATCTTTCATGGTTTCCTCATTCACTGGTCATTTCTTGAAGGAATCCAAGTCACTACTATAACAGACAGAGTCCAAACCCATACAGATCTCCCAAGGGTCTGTCAAATCTCCTTCTTACTTCATTTTCCATCCCAACTCCCAAGCTTCACCTAAAAATTCCTGGTAGAAGTATAAATAAGTTTTTGAGGAAAAAAAACAACTATTCAAATAGCTAAAGTGTCTTACCAAAAGATAGAAGGACACAGAAATTTAATTAATTTTTGATGACATTTCTAAGAATATAAATGGCACAGAGGGTGAAGGCATGCATTAGTAGAAGGAGCTTCTTCATCAGAGTTCTCTATACCAGTGCAATCTCAGATCTAGTCCCTATATAGCTATCCTTTTAAAACTGCAGATGTGTGATCTGTAGGTAAGAAACACTGGCTGGTAGTCACCATATCAGATCATAGAATCCTTGTGGAAACTATAGCTGTTACTTCTCCCCATATTTCTTCTGACTGCTAAGACTTCCTCTGGACACATGTAAAGCTGGAAGTTTCCCAAAGGGAGGCCCTAGAAACCATGCCTTCAATTCAACAAACATTTACTAAGCACCTATCATGCTCTGAGGACATTAAGGAAAAATTAATGTCCCTTCTCTCAAGGAACTTATGCTCTATCTACTGCAGAGAAATACATATATATAAATATTTGACTAACACTACCTCCCTCAGCTTCCTCTCCCCTTTGATCCAAAGGCTTGACAGTGGAGTACCAACCCTCCCAATGCCTACCTTTACAGAGGGCAGAAACTTGCTCACTCCACTCTGCACCTGCTACTCTGCCTGTTTTCACCTCCACAGAATAAGATGCCCCCTTGCCAGGTATCCTCTGGTCTCTACCCCCTTCCCCTTCCTGCCTCCTTTTGTATGTTGTCTCCCCCTTATTAGGCTGTAAGCTCTTTCAGGGCAGGGACTATCTTTTTATTAACTGTATCTCCAGCACTTAGTACAGTGCCTGGCACAGAGCAGGCATTTATATTTATTGGATTGGATTGGATAAATATATAATATATGCAAAGTAACTGAGAAGAGAGACTCTGCCTTCATTTCCTGACCCCATTAAATTGAAGACATTTTCTCCACAGGCTTGCAACATTAATCTTAATCTTGACTGGTTAGCACATCTTATGACACGAGGAGATCACAGAACCTATCTGCCAAAGAAACTGCTTATTTACAACCCGATGTTTAGAGTTTTGGAAGGAACATTAGCTATGATTTAGTCCAATCCTCTCATTTTACAGATTAAAACAACAACAACAAAAACAGATCCCATAAGGTCATCCAAAGTCAGACTACTAGTTTAGTGATAGATCTGAGCCTTCTAAGGACAAGCCCAATTTTCACCTGATGACTTGAGGGAATACTTAGCTCCTAATACTTACAGTTAAAACATTTCCAATCATCCTTTATCAAGAGTCACATGACTACAGTATTCTCTCTAGGGCATACCTGCCCATCTGTGGAGTATCTGGTCTAGATATGGCCACAACTCAGGAAACAATTGAATTCTATATATTCTTCTCCAAGCAGGAATCACAGGGACCTAAAACAAAAACCAACAAGATGCAGAAATCTCTCAAATTCTGGAGGATTCTCAATTGTCTTCAGATGCTAATTATAATTAGCCTTTGGCTTTTCTCCTCTACCCAAAATGTATAAGCATGTGGTAGTGTGGAGGGAGGAAGGTACTCCATGGTTGTTATTCAACTCAGCCCTGGACTAAGAATTTGAGGACAAGTTTCCACCTCCATTTCTCCCAGCTATGGGGGGTTCTTTTCTAGTTTTACCTTTCACTGGGGTTACCAGGAAGTAAATCTCCATACCTTTAGTAATAAAAACTTCAAATTTGGAATTTTTAAACTTTGAGGGCTCCACATAAAATACTCCAATAACAAAAACTAGAGATTTTAAAGAGATGTAGGCTACTACTGAACACTATCGCTCGAGAACCAAATATCTGGCATAGGTGATGCCCACTTGTGAATTATCATTTGATGTCATTTGTGATTCTCCACTAAGGAAGTCAATGTACTAAGTATGTAGACACCAAAACAAAACAGTACTTATTCTCCAAGAACTTACATTCTATTAACCAGCATTTACACTTAGGTAAAATACAACTTATATAAAAAAAATAATGGAAAGGGAATCAAAGTAAATGTCTCAAGAGCTAGCACTTCAGCTGAGCTTTAAATGGAGGGAGGGTAAAGATTCTAAGAAACGGAAGTGAGGAGAAGTAAATTCTAGACATAGGGAATAACCTGTGTGAAGGCTCAAGAGACTGCATGTCTCATAGGAGAAACAGCAAATGGGCCAGTTTGGGGAAAAGCCACTGGAACTTTTTGACCAAGAAAGTGACATATTCTGTCTATGCTTTAGGAATACCTAGTTGGCAGCTTCATGAAAGATGACCTTAAGAAGACAGAACTTTGAGGCAAGGAGACCAGTTAGGAGGATACTGAAATAATCCAGGGGAGGGGCAAAAGAGACAGATGTTGGAAATATAGTGGAAGTAAAACCAACAAGACTTAGTAACCATGGATGAGTAGGAAAAGAAGAGATGAGAATAACTCCTAGGTTATAAATCCAGGTGAAGAGAAAGGCAATGATACCCTTGAAAAAAATAGGGAAGCCAAAGAGAAAGGTGAGTTCAGGCAATGAATCATTTTGATCATGTTGAGTTTGAGATGTCTATAGGATATCCACTTCAAAATGTCCAGACAATAGTTGGTGATTCTGTCCTGCAACTCAGGAGAAAGACTATGGTTGGACATAAATCTGGGAGTTATTTGTGTAGAGACAAGTTCCATGAACTCATGGAAACTGATGAGATTACCAAAAGGATAAATTCTTTATCTAAAAGAGAAGAAAGTCCAGGTCAAAACATTGAGGGACACCACTGAATTTCCAACAAAGGGGAAGGGCAGAGAGGTAGGAGGAAAACCAAGAGAAATCATCGTCTTGAAAGCCTAGAGAAGAAAAAATAAGAAGGTGATCTACAGAGTCAAAAGCTACAGAGAGGTCAGGAAAGATAAGGATTTTTTGAAAAGCCAGCAGATTTGGGAATTAAGAGCTTATCCCCTAGTCCCTTTCAGTGTTCACTTTCAAAGACCATCTAGGTGTGCTGAAAATCAGCATATCAAAGCAAGAGCTAGGTGGGTTTTAGGATAATCTATGCAATTTGGTAGAGCATCCCTCAGCAGAGTGTTAAATAAGTATCCAGGACTAGAAAGACAGACCCTGGAAACAAAGAAGTCAGGCTGGCTCTGTTTCTTTTTTCTTCCAGTTAAATTTCTTGAGAGAGAAGTACATTTTAATATTTAATCCTATGTCATTAAAAAAAATCCTTATCTCTGTCTCTTAGAACCCAAGTTCTAAGACTTCCTCAAAGTTCAACTCAGGCGCTATCTCATCAGATAAGTAAATAGGAAGTCTTCCCAGATGCCCCTGTTGTATTTTACTCCCTTTCCTCAAATTATTTTGCATTTGCTTTTCAATCAATCAATTAAACATTTATTAAGCACCTATGTAACAGCCACTGTGCTAAGTGCTTTTATGTTTACATGCTGCATGTTATTCGGCAGAATAAGAGCAGAGGTAGTTTTTCATTTTTGTTACTATATCCCCAGTGCCTTGTGCATAGCAGGCAGTTAATAAGTTTCGGTTCAACTTAATGAAACTGAACTGGATATCCAATATAGAGGTAAGATGAGTTAATCACAACAGCCTTGTCATTTCTTTCCCCATACATTCTCTGAACTTTTATTTATTTATTTATTTTTAAGCAAAAACATTAATTCAAGTATGTTCCTACTAGGAAGGAAAGGAATCCTATATGAAAGATATGATTAAAATTCCAAATTTCCCCAATGTCATTCTATTTTAGATTGCTTAATCTTTTAAAACACATACCTTACTCAGTATCAGTACATTTATTTTCCAGCCAAAGGGTGATTAAAAAAAAAAAAACTCAGGGGGCAGCTAGGTGGCGCACTGGATATAGCTCTGGCCTTGGAGGCAGGAGGACCTGAGTTCAAATACCGCCTCAGACACTGGACACTGTGTGACCCTGGGCAAGTCACTTAACCCCAATTGTCTCACCACCCCGCCCCCCCCAAAAACCAGAAAACAACAACTCAGTATTAGGAAAAATGTGCTAAAAGACAACATCAAATTACTAAAGGCTGATAGGAAAAAAATAATTTGAAAGTTACTTCTATTGAACACTCAATAAACGTGAGTACATTCAAAAGAAAGAGGCAATGCCAGATCTGCAGTTAAGGAACAACAATTGTATATACCGTTTTGGTTACACAGTACAAGCTCTGTACCAACATAGGGTGGGGAGCCTGTGAGAAATGGGAGGTACGGGGAACATACCTACTCCCTAATCTATTAGCAGGGCTGCAGTGATTTACTATTGTGTAAGCTAATCTTAAAAAAGATAGGCCTAAACCCACACCTCAGAAGTCTACACAGTGGGGGAAGTTCTACAAAATCAGTAAACAATTACAAAATCCAGGGACTGTCACTAGTTCCCTCACATATATGTACAGAAAACCATTATCATAAGCACAAAATATTACTTCAGTTGTCAAGCAGGTCTTTACAAATCAGTCACAGAAACCAAGGCTCAGAAAGGTTGGATGACTTGCCCAAGGTCATACAAACTAGTCAAGGGCAGAGCTGCAACTAGAATCAGATTTCTTTCTACTGGACTCCCAACACTGCCTCTCAGATGGAAATAAACTGTAAGTCATTATGTAATACTCACCTATAATCCTGATTCCTAAGCATTCTGTACTAAATGAATTTTTCTGAGCTAGCCCTAAGTAATTCAACCTTTATGCTATTATTGTAGTTAAGTCCACATTTCAAATGAACAGAAAAATTTCCTAACGCAAACGGAGAAAAGGCCTTTGATGACACAAATGTTGCTCAAGGTCCTAGGAGGGGCTCAATCAATTATTATTTATTGAATTTCAGAAATATGTCACCTTGAAACAATGTAAAAAAGTCCCTGTCATTCAACTGTCCACAGATAAACAGATCACCTAAAATGACAGGATGAAGGCCATCTAATCAAAAAGTTTAGATCTATCTTCACAAATACTCATTATACAAGTAGGCACCACAGGAGATACAAAGAATGAGAATGGCTCAAGAAGTTTACAGTCTAGCTGGGGAGATAAAGGATAAACAAGCAAACAAATAAATATGGCATAAACACACAAAAAAGGTCAAACAATAGGACATAACTAACTGTCAAATGAGTAGTAAAAAACCATGAATGAAGAAATAACTATGAATCAGACAGGGCAAATATGTTCCCCATCTAGCTGAATGACTTCCCTTCTTATCTGGTCTGAAAAAAAGTACAGCTAAACATCAATGTGTTACTGATATCACAGTCCAAAAGTCACATGGTTTCTAAGCTTGTGAGAAAAAAAAAGCTAAGTATTTACAGACTTTTAAAAAACCCTTCAGACTATGCTGATATGCTAAATTATAACGGCTTTCAAGAGTCTTATTAACGCTGTCCAATAAAAGACGAACTTGGCTCTCAAATTCTATCTTACCTCTAGCCTTAGTGTTGTTGTTTACAGAGCTCAAACACACCCAAACAGAACTACACTCAAAAGTTAGCAGCCTCTTCTTCATACACCCCGGTCCTGCCATAACTGGAGTAAAAACTGTGTTCTGTGATAACATACTTTCCATTCTCAGACTTAATTCTAGTATTTAAAGTGTTTATTGTGTCAGTGGCTCTCAAACAGAAAAATCCTCTAACTCTGGAGTGAGGATGAATTCAGTAAGTGTTATACTAAGCTTTTTGTTTTCTTGCTCATAATCTTAAAAGAATCACATATATTTTAAAATACAAATTGTATATTTCTGAGGATATTTCTAACATTTTCCCAGCTTTAGATAAAAATTTTAAAACATATCACCATCAGTTCAATTACTCGATATCTGATAAAATCCATAAAACTTTCTCAAAATTTCTATAACCTGCTGGACCAAACACAAATTTCTGAAATCTGCTGACTAGACACATCTATTTAGATCAGTTAGGTTGACTATACTCTGAAATCCAACAAATACATCAACAACTTAGGATATCACAAGTTTTCAAGGAAAAAAAAAGGATAGTTATTTTATTTTGAACATGGTATTCCTAAAGACAATGTAAACTTGAACTAGTTAATTAACCTAAAGACTTCCTAAGGCTTTATGTTTTCTTTAGCTCATAAGTACCAAATAGGTAATTGTTTTATTTATGCCAATAAATTTCCCCTTTGACTGATACTTAACTCAAATTCAGTCATCATCACATACACATTAAGGTACAAATATATTTCTTAGAGACTAAATAATAGTAAAAAACAAAAAAAAATTAATTTCTTTAGTTTTCCTCAGTTTACCCACTTTTTATTAAAATGTGACATTTTCCTCTCATAGTCACATTTATTTCTAGTAGCAGCCCTTTTCTCCGCACTGAAACTGTGAATAACGGCAATGTTAAGAGAGTCCAGAACAAGAAAAAGGAGGGGAAAAAAAACCCTGAGATTTTCCCCAAACCTCTTTGTGTTACTTTCAGGCATTAGCAAAATAAATGCCTTTTGCTCTTCAACAATGCCCATAGGGAGGTCTGTCCATAAATTATCTTGAATAAAAATAGATTAATATTAAGGAAACCATATATAATTAGTCTCAAGCCAACTTTTTGTTATTCACAGAGAATGAATGTCCTTATTGTTTAGGAAAATTCAAGTTTATCGGACATAACTCAAAAACGCCTGTTATTTTTGATGCGAAAATACCGGAGGGGGTTTTCTAAATATCTAGAGATGCTTCACACAACTAAAATGTCAAGCTGCTCTCTACATCAAGAGAGATGACTGATTTTTCCTCTCACTTTTCTTTTTATACTCGACACTCTCATTACTGCAGTGAAAAAAGTAACTGCATCTCTCATCTGTAGCACAGTGTACAAGAGAATAAATGTAAAGTTTCTATGATAGGTGTGGGAAAATTAAGTTGTACTGTTCTCCTTCTAGATATTCTCTCCTATGGGGACAGAATACCTTCCAGTACAATGTCACAAGGGGAACAGAGAAAGAAAAGGAATAAGCATTTATATAGTGTCTACTACGTGCCAGGCATTGTGCTGAGCACTTTTTACAAATGTTATCTCACTTGATTTTAATAAATTACATGTTTTAAAAAAGAGGCTTCAGAAGGCCAAGAACCTTTTTATTCCTTTGGTGATATTTAGCAAGTATTACAAAAACATCAATATCTTATTCTTTTTTCCCCATGATCAGCTCTGAAGCCTCATTTCATTTTTCTACTGACTTCAAATTGATGCGTTAGTGATAAAAATTTTACCATTTTGTTTTAAGTCCATTCGCCATGTTTTGTTTTGTCTTCTCAAGCATGAAATTTTAGGGCACATTTGAATGCTATTCTCCAAAAATGAATCTTCAATAGTATTTTGTATATTTTCAAAGAAGCATCTCACAGCCTCCGTTTTGGCCATAACTGAATCCAATAGTACATTTATCTTTATAATAGTAAGCTAATAGGCCACAAAACCAAAATCATTCTTAGAGAACAGTCCAAGACTATACAACTTCATAGGGACTTTTAATGTCCTGAATCTATGTACAAAAAGCAGGGTGAAAAGTTAAACTATTTAGTGTACCAAGATTTGATAACAGCTTTCAAACAAGGTATTCAATACCTAATGGTCAAGATCAAATAAAAATTTCCTTCAAACAATAATCTTTTTAAAACTTCAAACAAAAACTGGGAAAATTTTAGTAATCTTTTCACTCATCTGTCACACTTTTAAAATATGCTATAATTTGTAGTGATAAGAACTTACTTCCAAATTCTTCCAACTCAGACTACAGAACTTGCTAGCAAAAGATCACTATTAAACACAATTATCCCACCATCTGTACTTACAAAAAGGGCAGCACGAAAATAAACAGAAAAATTCTCTAACAGTAAGGGGGGGGGAGAAAGATTCGGGAAAAGAGACAAAGTAAAGAAAACTAGATAAGTAGTTTTGAGTAGAATTTTTAATTTTTAAACACAAACCTGATTTTATAAAAAAAAAATTCGATTCTACACTTGCATTCCTTGCCAGAACAAAAGTTAGCATATTCTACCTTACACATATCAGAAGTACAATGTGAAAAACTTAATCCAAAGACAAAGCAGCCCTGGAGAAAATAACAATTGCGCAACAGATCAACAGCTCCAACTTGTCCCTGGCCTTCAGCATTGTAAAGACTGGCACGCTATAAAGCACAAAGGGGCCAATCTAGGGCAGCTGTGACAAACAACAGATAACTTTCACTGAAGCTAGAAAAATGCATTCAGATAAGCTCCACCGAGGCAAGAAAGAAGCACAAATTTTAAGATATTGGAGCTGGGGGTGTTTGGATGCCTGTGATTTGAAGAATATATAACATTTCCAACATTCCCAAGTTTTGCAGAAGAGGAAAGGGGAGAGGAGGGGAAAGAAGCAAGATCAACTGAACTCAGAATTCCCAATTCTCTTTCCGACGATAAGCAGCAAATAAATGGCTCTTCTGAACTTCATCGGATGCAGAATCCAAGCCGTGCTCTATCTTCTATCTTGGTGCACGCCTGGGTACCACTGTCAGGGACACATTATTATGCTTTTTGACAGCTTCATGGTCTCTCGGGGCGATCTAGGTCACTCTAGAAGCACAAAGCTAACTTGAGTCTTTTAAAAATTTGTTTTTCTCCGTAACCTAGAAATTACTAGTGGGAGGGGTGAGCATGGGGAAAAACAACCCTTTCCCTTCCCTGGCTCCGCGATGCAGTAACTGGAGGGGCGGAGGTGGGAGGACAGGCTACAGAGGAATCTCCATGGAAGCCTCGGCTTCCAAGCCAAGCGAGTGCCCCGCACCAGGGGGCCCGTCCACTCCTCGCAGACCAGAGGGGTCCGAGTCCTGCCCGTACCTCATCCTCCCCCTGGTGACTAAGCACGCAGGCTTCGAGGCCAGGGAGAGCAGCTCAGGATTGGAAGGGTGAAGGGACGAAGGACGCCAGAAGCCCGAGCGGGCCCCGGAGGCGCCCAGGGAGCTTCTCCTCTCGTGACAACCAGACCCCCAACCCCCTTCCACGGGGCCGATGGAAGTGACCAGCGACGCCTCCTCACCCCACACCCGCAGCCGCGCAGCCGCAGTGCGGAGACCCGGGCAAGGGCTCCCGGAAGAGTCCGCGGGGGCGGGAACAGCTGTTGTCACCCCCCACCCCCCCACCCCTCCAGAGCTGGGAATCCCCGCCCCCTCCCGCACCTCCCCTTCCTCCTCCCGCAGGAAAGGAGCCCGGGTGCAAGGGGCCGGCGCCACGCTCGTGACAGGCAGAGCCGGGGGGAGCTGCCCGCCTCCCCCGCCCTGCAGCCACTGCTTCCTGGGGACTTCCCCTCTTCATCCCCCTTGGACGCCATCCTCAATCTCTCCCCCTCCATTCTCTCCCGAGAATGAGGGAGGAGGGTGTTGTTTTTTTTCCTTTAATCCCAGACTCCTCCGCGACCCTGGCCCTACCCGCTGTCCCCTCTCGCCGATGGACTGTCCAGAGAAGAGAGAGGGAAGGAGGTTGTCCCTCTTCGCCCCCCTCCCCGTCCCTGTTCCCGTAGGCGTGACGTCTTACCCCCTCCCCCGCCCTGCTCCCAGAGGCGTGACGTCCGCCCCACCTCCCCCAGCCCAGCTCTCATGTGCGTGACGTCTGTCTCTCCCCCCCCCGCCCTTCGCCGGTCCCGGAGGTGCCGGCAGCAGCACCTGTTGCGATGGGGGTAGCTCCAAGTCTATCATGTTGAGCTTCCGACCCCTGCGTTGGGGCTTCCCGGCCGGAGTCCTTTCTCTCTGCTCCCGAGGCACTGTGAGGAGAAGGAAGGTGCAGCGGCGGGGCAGCGTGGAAGCGGCTTCTCCTGGCAGTTCACTGTATTCCACCCAAGGGCCGAGACTCCCCGACACAGCCCCAGCAACGCCCCGCCTCCCGACCGCCCGGAGGGGCGGGGAAACGTGTGACCACGCCCACAAGGCTGGCCGCTTCCTCCTGGCTCCTCCTCCTCCAAAAAATCCCCCGCCCCTGCCCCTGCCGACTTCCTGTGGGATTGGGATGGGGAGTTGGGTTGGGGCTTGCGTCGGCGTCACTGCGAGGGAGTACTCCGCCGGGGGGCGGCGGGGAGGGACGGGGAAATGAAGTATTGAGAGCTTTTATTTATAACCCCCTCCAACCCAGTCGGGGGCGGGGGGCGGGGGGCGGGGGGGGGGAAACGGAGAGGTGCCCCTCTTAAAGCCCACGGCTGACCCTAAGAACCGTAGATTTATAGTTGGAAGGAATCTTAGAAGTCATCTCGTACAACTTCGTCATTTTACAGATAAGGAAACTGAGGCCCAGGGAAATTTAAGTGATTTGCCCAAAATCATACATGATAGTAAGGTGCAGGAGAAGGATTTGACCTCTGGTCTCCCGATTCCAAAACCAGGAGTTGAACCCGGGTATTCCCACTCCAAAGCCACGGTTTGAATCCGGGTCCCCTGACAGCAAAAACAGGATTTGAATCCGGGTCTCCCAACTCCAAAGGACCCTAGACTCTCACCCCGTGTGTTCGTTTCCTGCACGTGCGTATTTTAAGACAAAACACAAAACCATTTCTCCCTGCGTGTGTTTTAAAACTGTAGTATGTATGTGTCCCTTAAATCGAATAAAACCATTTTTGTCCTTACCTCCCTCCTCCCAACGAGATTGCCTGATGTTCAAAGCTGGGCACTTGGAAGCATAGTGCATGCTGCTATCTCACCGACCTGGCAAAGACTGTGGTGCTATAAGGGAGGCTGGCTCAAAGTCGGAGGGCCCTGCTCAATTTTATCTCTGCCTACCGCACCTACTCCAGGCTCAGGCGCCAGCAAAGAAGAACAAGGACAAAAGCTGCAGTCTAGCAAGCACACACCTTTTCCTCACTTTCCCACCCTCTGCTCCCGGTGAACTCTGTTAATTCAGTGAAAATGTAATCTGCAGTAGGAAGTTCTGGAACCACTCTGGGACTTTGGAGTTATGCCCCCTCTCTGTTTGCCTATGCCCCAAATTGCCCTCCTATTTACTTTCTCCAGCTCTTTAGCAACATTGCTAGGGATAGCACTCCAAGGTTGGTTAGAAAAGTCCTCTTGGGATTGAAGTTGACACTGTTCATCTTGGGCTTTGAAAAACTGAAAAGCCCCTCTCCCACCCCAAGTCCCATCATACAGCACTGAGCTGTTGTACCAGGTATAATCCTTCTGAAAAGTGGTAAAAGCCTCAGAGGGTAAAAGGGACTGTGAAACCCTGGAGTATGTTATTCCAGAAATACTGAAGATTTTTAAAAGAAAGAGATGAGTATCAACAGGTAGTTTTCTAGAACTAGAAGGGTTCCAAAGGCCTTAGAACTAGATCTTACAGATGAGAAAGCTGAGACCCAGAGAATTTATGTGATCTAGCATTCTCTCTGGATCTAAGAACCTTTCTATCTGTTTCATAAGTTCAGCTTTTGATTTCTAGCTTTTAAAGACTGTTAGAAATTAGGCAACATACAGATGAAGAATCCTTGTACTTAAGTGAAAAATGGACTAGATGTAGTAGTTCTCAACCTGTAGGATGTTATTACTGTAGAGGGTCTATCTCATGAAATTACTCTTCAGTATAATAAATAAATATAGTTTTTATAAACTGAAAAATGTCACATTTGGGTTCCTGTTTTTCAGATGTATGTAGATGTGATTAATAAAATACAAGTTCACTTAAAAAGCATTACTTAATTTTTAATAGCTTTTTGTTATGTAATTTCTCAGTCATTGGATACCAAATAGTACAGCAATCACCCCTAGGTCCAGGAAACTTTTTTTTAATGTTGAAAAGGAATATATACATACTAAAAAGTGTTGGTAGCCAACAGACTAGATGATAGAAGATTTTATGAACCCATGAGTTTCTATGTTAGGTACTGTGGTAGATAAAAATCAAAACCTAGGGGGGAGCCAAGATGGCGGAGTGAAAGAAGTGACTTGCTTGAGCTCTACTCCAAACCCCTCCAAATACTCATAAAAAATGGCTCTAAACAAATTCTGAAGCAGCAGAACCCACAAAAAGGCAGAGTGAAACAAATTTCCAGCCCAAGACAACCTGGATGATTGATCAGAAAGTTGTACCTCACCGGGCTGGGTGGGCAGCGCAGCGCGGTGTGGGCGAACCTGGAGCAGGCCTCAGAGGACTGAATCTCGGGCAGCTGTGGAGGTTTCCAGACTCCTCAATCCATGAATGCCAAAGACAACTTAGAAGGTCAGTGGGAAAAGTGTGTTTCTCTTGGTGCAGAGACAGGAAGGTGGGATTTCAGCTCCATTCCCCAAGAGCGTGGCCCGGGGGGGGGGCAGCTGCTTCAGAGCTTCCGGCCCACAGACTGAGGGGGAATCCAGTGGCTGAACAGAGAGGGACTGAAGGGACCTCTCTGCCAGTGCTGAGGCAGGAATCTCTTGCTTTGCCCGTGTTTGGATCTGGGTCACAGTTCTGGGCAGCAGTGCTGGGGTGAGGAGGAGCGCTGGCGTGGTGGAGCTTGTAGTAGCTGTGGAGAGGAACCCCTCCTCACAGTTACAGGACAGAAAGGAATACTTGTGGTCACAGGCCAGGAAAGGAGTAAACACCTCGCCTCTTATCATACCACCTTGGAAGAACTGAAAATTTACAGGTCCCTACAAGTATCTCTGAAAACAGCTATACAAACCCCTGAAGCTTGGGACAATACATTCTCCACATTGGAAGCAGACTCTTACCTTAACAAAGAGTTTAAAACTCAAGTAATTGGCTGGGATCATGAGCAAGCAGTGCAAAAAAGTCAGACCATAGAATCTTACTTTGGTGAAAAAGAAGATCAAAATATACAACCAGAAGAAGACAACAAAGTCAAAGCTCCTACATCCAAAGCCTCCAAGAAAAATATGAATCAGTCCCAGGCCTTGGAAGAGCTCAAAAGGGATTTTGAGAAGCAAGTAAGAAAAGGAGAGGAAAAACTGGGAAGAGAAATGAGAGTGATGCAAGAAAATCATGAAAAACAAGTCAACAGCTTGCTAAAGGAGACCCAAAAAATACTGAAGAAAATAACACCTTAAAAAATAGCCTAACCCAAATGGCAAAAGAGGTCCAAAAAGCCAATGAGGAGAAAATGCCCTAAAAAGCAAAATTGGCCAAATGGAAAAGGAAGTCCAAAAGATTACTGAAGAAAATACTTCCTTAAAAATTAGAATAGAGCAATTGGAAGATAGTGACTTTATGAGAAATCAAGACACTGTAAAACAAATCCAAAAGAATGAAAAATTAGAAAACAATGTGAAATATTCATTGGAAAAAAACTGACCTGGAAAATAGATCCAGGAGAGAGAATTTAAAAATTATTGGACTATCTGAAAGCCATGATCAAAAAAAGAGCCTAGACATCATCTTTCAAGAAATTATCAAGGAAAACTGCCCTGATATTTAGAACCAGAGGGCAAAATAGAAATTGAAAGAATCCACAGATCTCCTCCTGAAAGAGATCCCCAAAGGAAAACTCCTAGGAATATTATAGCCAAATTCCAGAGTTCCCAGGTCAAGGAGAAAATATTACAAGCTGCCAGAAGGAAACAATTCAAGTACTGTGGAAACACAATCAGGATAACACAAGATTTAGCAGCTTCTACATTAAAGGACCACAGGGCATGGAATATAATATTCCGGAGGGCAAAGGAGATAGGATTACAACCAAGAATCACCTACCCAGCAAAACTGAGTATAATCCTTCAGGGAAAAAATGGTCATTCAGTGAAATAGAGGACTTTCAAGCATTCTTGATGAAAAGACCAGAGCTGAATAGAAAATTTGACTTTCAAATACAGGACTCAAGTGGAACATGAAGAGGTAAACAGGAAAGAGAAATCATAAGAGACTTATTAAGATTGAACTGTTTACATTCCTGCATGGAAAGATGATATTTATAACTCATGAGACCTTTGTCAGTATTAGGGTAGTTGGAGGAAAAAAATTATATGTATGTATATGTAGATAGATAGATAGAAGAGGGCACAGGGTGAGTTGAAGATTAAGGGGTCATATCTGGAGAATAAAATTAAGGGATGAGAGAGGATTATACTCAGAGAAGAAGAAAGGGAGAGGTAGAATGGGGTAAATTATCTCACAAAAAAAAACAGAAAAGAAAAGTCTCTTACAGTGGAGGGGAAACTGGGGAAGGTGAGAGGGAATGAGTGAATCTTATTCTCATAGGATTTGGCTTAAGGAGGGAATAACATACACATTCAATTGGGTATGGAAATCTGTCTTACCCTACAGGAAAATAGGGGGAGAAGGGGACAAGAGAGCAGGGGGATGATAGAGAGGAGGGCAGATTGGGAAAGGGGATAATCAGAAGTAAATACTTCTGAGGAGGGACAGGGTCAAAAGAGAGAATAGAATAAATGGGAGGGCAGGATAGGATTAAGGGAAATAGAGTTAATTTTTCACAACATGTCTACTATGGAAGTGTTTTGCATAACTGCACATGTACAACCTATATTGAGTTGCTTGCCTTTTCAATGAGGGTGGGTGGGAGGGAGGAAGAGAGAAAATTTGAAACCTAAAGTTTTAAAAACATATGTTTAAAAAAAATGTTTTCACATGCTACTGGGAAATAAGAAATACAGGAAATGGGGTACAGAAGTCTATCCTGCCCTACAGGAAAATAGAAGGGGAAGGGGATAAGAGAAGGGGAGAGAGATAGAAAAGAGGACAGACTAGGGGAAGGGATATTCAGAATGCATGCCATCTTGGGGTGGGGGAGGGGGAGATGGGTGAAAATTTGGAATTCAAAAACTTGTGGGAGTGAATGTTGAGAACTAAAAATAAATAAATTCATATTAAAAAAATAAAAATAAAAACCTATAGTCTAGCAAGGGAGAGAAAAAAACTCTGCATACAAGTATAAAAAGGCCAGAGAACGAGGTCAAGGGAAAAGACAAGAGTCAACA